ACAAGTACATACATACTATGGTGCAATCTCTTTATTATGAAATTGCATATTACAAATGTAGATTATATTGTTACATAACTGCACTCAGTACAAAATAATGTAAAACTTTAGAGTCTTACAACTCCACTCGGTCCTACTTCTTGTTCAGCCAATCACTAAGTCTAGGTCTACACTGCAACGCAATTTCAGGATACTACAGTATCTCAAAATAGTTATCCCGTGTCTTTACAGCAAGCCGGTTTTTTTGGGTTTGCTATTCTAACGTCGCTATAAAGCTCATTGTGTGAGGAGTAAGTGGCGTTTCAGAATAGCACTTTATTTCAAAATTTGGTGCTGTGTAGACAACCAAACGATGAAATAGCATTGAAATAAGATGTGCAATTTGCATAGCTCAAATTACGTATCTTCTTTCACGTTATGGTGCAGTGTAGACAAACCCTTAGACAAACAAATTTGTTTACATTTGCAGACGATAATGGAGAAGGTAAATAAGGTTAAAAAGAAAAAGGCAGGGGTAGTATGTATTAGCCTTTTGTAGTGAAATTTTGCACCACTAAACAGCGTTACCCCATAGCATTCTTTAGTGGAGTGACACAAAGCTTCCTGTGTTTAATTTACAGTGTCACCTGAAAGTGAGAACAAGCATTCACGTGGGACTTTTGTAACTGGCATTGTGTAGTATTTGTGTGTCAGATATGCTAAACATTTGTAAGTTCTTTCATGCTTTGTCCGCTATTCCAGAGGCCAAGCTTCCATGCCGATGACAGGCACTTAAAAAAATACATTAATTAAATTTGTGACTGAACTCCTTTGGGGAGAGTTGTATGTCTCATGCTCTGTTTTATCCACATTCTCCCATCTATTTCATGTTATAGAATAGACAGCTAGGACAGGGACCCAGCACATGTTTATTTTAAGAACTCTTTCAGTGCAGATTTTACAAAACACAGAGAAGATAGGAATGAATGTGAAATTCTCAACAGATACTGCAGTCAACCCTTGGTATAAAAATCTGAAGTCTCTTATTATCTGAGAGAGTGTTGCATGCATTCTTTCAGATATCTTAAAAAAGCACCACTTAGATACAGAAACTATAGATCCTGAACCACCAAAAAAGAAAACCAAAGATGTGCTGTCAGCATGTGACTTAGATGATGAAAATAATGTGTCAATCTGCACTGCTTTGGATCATTATTGAACATAACCAATCATCAGCATGTACACATGCTCGTGATGGGGGAAATAAAAAATACTGTTATGGGGTTCTTTTGCAGTGCAAATAAAACAAAGTGAGTACTATGCCTCCATTGAAATCAATATTTGAAAATGTAGAAAACATCCAAAAATATTTAAACGGTATTCTAATCTTTAATTGCACAGTTGTATTATTAATCATGTTTAATTTTTTAATCACTTGACAGCCCTAATTAATACTCATTTTTGGATTCAAATAGCACGTTGTACTTCGTGCCCTTTAGCAATGTAGGTCTGAAATCCCCAGGGAAAGGTGTGCAAACATCATTGTCTCTGAGTACTAACTGAACTATAAAAATTGTTTCTTGTCCAAGGTTACCAAGTGAATTGCAGAATTGGGAACAGCACTCAGCTGAACTTGGTTCTAACTATGTGCTAAATCAGCTAGATTACAGCAATCTATTTATTAACAGCTTTATAGGTTGACATAATCAATTATGATCTTTAGCAATTTGACATTAAATTATTTGAAATCTAATTAATCTTTTCAGTTATGTAATTTTCATATCCTCTCACCATCAACTGATTTTTCTTCACATCACTTTTTTCTGTGCACCACTTTTACAACATATATGGGTTTGGGTTTTTTTTTTTTCTGTGATAGAGTAATAATTACAATATTTAAGGGATCTCCATCCTCTATCTCCCAAGAACACATTTAGGCTGAGACCTGGCTTTTCTGCACAGATAGTGGAGTTAGGTTCTTGGAGCCTTTGGCTAAAAAGCAGGAAATGGGGGTAGAAGTGTGCATTAGCTTCCACGTTTGGAGTCCTAGGGTAAAAAGGAAAAGGCATCGGTAGTATGTATTAGCCTTCTGTAGTGAAATTTTGCACCGCTAAACAGCCTTGCCCCATGGCATTCTTTAGTGGAGTGACACAACTGCCTTCCTCTGGCTTTTCTTAAAGTGGTAAATGTTGCTGCAAAGGGTGACTAAAATAATATTTTCCATGTCAACTAGGTGAAAAACAAACAAACCAACCCCAGACAATACATATTCAAATAGAAATGTTCCTCTACATGCTGGAAGGGGAACTGCTACTGTGTTAGCACAAAACTTCAATAAATGGCTATTTACTAGTGAGGTATACAATAAGGATGTTAAAATGCATGTATGTAGGTAAAGTGTAACTGCTGAAAATGTCAGAAGTTACACATTTACATGCAGGGGAGGGAGGTAGCTCCCATGGAGTGATTTCCCCCCCTCCCCCCCCCCCCCCCC